ACTAATATACCTTTCATACGTAAAATGAATAGAAGTATTATTAAAAGTGCATAGACAAAACGTCAAACGTGGATTAATTTTTCCTTACACGACTAATTCAAAACACTTCACAAGCTCTTTCTACATTTGGAACAACTAGTAACATCGGAGTATTAATTAATGTAGTATTCATGGAAATTGTTCATCATCGATTAAAAACCAATCCAATGAATGTACGTGTTAACTAATAACAAACTCAACTCCAAAATTGTGGGACGTTGTGCTTCTAACAAACTTTAGTACTATTTTAGTCATTTTAGTTAGCAGTTATATATTAATCATGAAATTTGAACTACAACTTAATAGGCTATTGCTACGATCGTCAAATGAGTGTATGTATATGATTAGACATTTATGATAGATGGACTTTGGTTTACAGAACCAAACCTAAAGGCTAAAAAAACTAGCTTTCAGTGGTAAAGTTAGTTAAGGTAGTTGAGTTCAAAAGTCAAAATCAACTGCTAATTACCTTATTAGCCTCCTCTACCCTCTCTATATATCATTCACACAACGAATCATAAAACTTCATAACCATTATTGGTCTTGAATAGAGAAAAAGATCCAGCTTGACAAAACCACTAAACACAACAAAATGAATCTGAAGTGTTTCCTAATCTCAGCTCTAATCTTCTCTATAGTTTCAAATTCTCCGATATTGATGAGTCTTGCTCAAGCCAACACTCCATGTTCACCAAACATGCTCTCTAGCGTTACAGGGTGCATGAGTTATCTAACGGGACGTGCTAGTTCTCCGACTTCGGATTGTTGTGGGGCTCTTAAAACGTTAACCGAAACCGGTATGGACTGTTTGTGTCTGATTGTAACCGCAAACGTGCCACTCGATCTTCCTATTAACCGAACTCTAGCCACCTCTCTTCCTCGTGCATGTGGTGTCCCCGTTCAATGCAAAGGTACGTATCTATGTTTATTTTTTATTCAAAAATATTGAGTCTATTATTTTATGTTTTTTTGAAGAAAGGTTTGCTCAATTATTTTATGTTTCTGGTGTTTTCTATCTATATATATTAGTTTCAATTTTTTTTTTGTTAACGTAAACATTTGTGAAATCTCGCAGCTTCTTCAGCACTTCTTTATGCTCCAGGTAAGAATAATTTTGAGTTTATTTTTATCTCTTTACGAATTATTTTCTGCATTAATATAGATAAACCTCAATGCTTATGGCTTATAGGTCCTGCGTCTCTTGGTCCAACCTCTTCTCCTCCTACAGAAACCCAAATTCTTGAAGGTAAAATATAAAAAATTCCCCTAATTATTTTGCTCATAACTTTTTTTCTGTTGGGTCTAAATTGTTATACATTATCGAGTTTATTGACATCGTAGACCGGGTTATCCCGAAGATCTCGAAAATGTTCAGTAAATACTTTTGATTACCCGTATTAACAAAGGTCATTATTATTCATTAATAATTTAATATATACGTTACTCGCAGGCCCTGCTTCTTTCGGACCGGTCACTTCTCCGACAAGTTCGATGGATCCTGATGACGGTCCTGTTGGTAAAGCACACATTTTCTTTAATACTTAAGAAAGTGGTTTTAGTTCAAAGCATTTTCTCATCATTTGGTACTAATATATTCGCATTTATTAAAATTTAGAAGAAACGGATCTTCCCGAACCGAGTAACGGAGGAGACCCAAGGCAACCACCAAAGACTTCAGCCGCGTTGCCTACTTCTTCACACTCTCTCAAGCTTTCGCTTCTTCTATTTGCTCTTTCCGCCTTTGAGTCTATCAGTTTCTTCTAATTCGTAATATATGATGTTCTTTACTTTCATCTTTATATGATTCTGATTAAATAATGTTCTAAAACTTTTATAAGTATTTGATGTTACCTGTCTTCTATTAATAAAGCAGTTTCCACAAATTTACCCAATCTATAATTTAAATAGGATTGAATATAAAATGAACCGTTGACTGCCGCCTCCGTTGAAGCCTCATGGAGCCACCTTTGGGTGAGTGTTCGTGCGCTCTTCCACTTAGCTTTACTATTGTTTCTTTTTGCTATCCGAAAGTACAAGAAGTGATTAGAATTTAGAATTCTTGTCATTGCTTGTTCGATCGAGTTATTAACGTCAAGATAACCACTCATGGTAAACTTGGTGTTTATTATGGTGTTTCTTAGGTGTTTTTAAAAAAAAATATTTTTGGGGCACCTAAGAGCACAATTATCGGGGAGGGAGAAAAAAGGGGTGCTTAGAATTTTGTTTTATTTTTTTTTTCTTTTTTTTCAGATTTAAAAAAAAAAAAAAAAAAAAAATAGAAAAGGGACCTATCGCGGGCCGCCACGTGTCGTGGGGCCCGCAGAACAGCCCAAGCACCCATGAAAAGCCGACGCTTATTGGGGCAACAGAAGCGTCGAATTTTTCTTCAGTTGGGCCCCCCACCCTTACTTTTTAGGCTAAGCGCCTCCCGATAATTGTGCTCTAAGATCAGAATAGATTGTTAGCAGAATCTGGTTCAACTTCTTGTAACCAAAACCTTTATATGGCTTCTTTTTAGTTTTGAAGTAAACAAAAAAAAAAGTAGCTTCTAATGGATTCTGCAACAAGATAGGGTTTATTTAGAGCCAAAAGGTGAAGAAGTAAGGATTAAAAAAAAAAAAAAGATTAGCCTAAATACATGTACACACACTACTACATAAAAAGATCACTTGTTGACAACTGGAACAAAACGGCGGCATGTAGGACAACAAGGACGCACGAGAAGCCATCTATTGACGCAATCACGGTGAAATCTATGCAAACAAACTGGCAGCTTAACAACACCACCACCAGAACCTCTTTGCAGATCTTCGAGGCATATTGGGCAACCTTCTTCTTCTTTTTCTTCTTCTTCGAGTTTGACTTCTGTTGAAGAATGATTAACCCTCCTCCATGATTTCACATAGTTTATCAATCTACTTGGGTGACCCGAATGAACATGTAGACGAAAATTAGGCCTATAACTAGGTAGAGAGGCCTAGGAAGCCTAGTATGATCATGATGTGGATTGTCATCTGGATCTGGCCAAGGAAAAAAACATGCGTATAGGTTACAGCCGGAGACAAATCCCGTGAACATGAACGAGAAAGACCCTGCAAATATCAATTGACATATTGAAGCCTCTTGAATGCTCTCGGATCTTGGTAAACGAAGACGTTCCATTCTTTCAAGCACCTAACTCTGAACTATTTGCAACTCTTTGTGTTTTGCCTTTTTTTTTCTTTTTGGATATAACTAAGGAAATCTTTGTTTCTCAGAACCCTTGATATTATCTCCAAGAATATCTCAAATGAAGATTTTAATAATAAAAATAATAGTTTTGATAGATTTTAGATTTTTATTTAAATTTTAGTTTTTTATAAATATTTTCTTGAATTGTTCAAGACATAGACAAATATTTTCAAGACATAGATAAATATTTTCAACAACATATAACATAAATTATTTGGTATGGGTAGTAATGTTTAACCTTCTTGATTTCATTAGTCATATAACATAAATTATTCACTAGAAATTGAAAACGATGTTCATTTGGAAGAAAACATATTCTCAGAAACAAACAGAATTAAAATATGGTGGGCATATTAAATTGTTCAAGACTTAGATAAATATTTTCTCTGTGTAGTGATAATGACATCTTATATATTAAAACAGAAGTCATAACTTGAATTCATGTGTGATTTTTTAAATTTTGGACTTATTCCTAGAAAGGGGGGGTTATATTAAACTCTCTAATCTTATCATTATCATATCTTATGAAAAATCATATCTATAATAACAAACATATGCTTAAAAAATTGGTTTGGGTAAATTATCCCACACCTTCCAACTTAGTCACGCAAAATATGTCAATAGATATAAGTTTATGAATTTTTCTATTATTTATAAGGAAATATATCAATAATAGTTAAATGCATCCACAATATATTAACAAAAATCACAGATTCGTAATATGGAATATTTATATATATGTGGAATAGATTTAACAGAATATTCACCGTCCGATAACGCAAAATATGTCAATAGATATACGTTTAGGAATATTCTATTATTTATAAGAATATATTTAGTTTGGGTAAATTACCCCACACCTTCGATATAATTTATTAACTTTGCAAATTAAAGTATAATAATATTTAATCAATCTCTATTTATGTTACTTTATTTAAATATGAAATACTAATCTAACAAACAATAAAATACAGAAGAAGAAACAAACCCATATTTGAAAAACATGTATAATATAGAAAACTTGAAACAATCTATTTGATTAAAACACGTATTATATAATATTATTATGTTTGCAAAACATTTACTATATACATTATAAATATTTAATTACTATAATAAATACCAATTTGTAAATGAAAATAAAATATTTATATAATTAACTATAAACGAAAACAAACACCCGCGCAAAAATCTAGTTGATTCTTGAAAAAAAGAAGATAATGACGTTGATAACATGGGACAAGTAAAGATATTAACAACAGTTTTCAATGGATTTGAAGATGTCATCATTGTCTTTAACCTCCTCTGCATCACTAAACAAAGTCACCACGTATCTCATCCACAAAAGCCTTCATGCTCTTATCAGATGACCCTCCTTCTCTACCCGCTTCAAACGCTAAACGCTTCCATTTCTCTGCGTTTTCCCTCAGCTCCTCACCTTTCTCCCCCATCACCTCTTCCAAACAACGCCTAATCTCTCCCGCCTCCACCAAACCTTCCTTATTCTCTCTCACCCTAACACCTGTCCTCCAAGAATCCTCAAGAAGCTTAGCGTTCGTCGGTTGATCCGACCACATCGGAAACGCCACCACAGGAACTCCAAGAACCAAACTCTCAAGCGTCGAGTTCCACCCACAATGAGTCACGAAACAACCAACGGCTCGGTGTCTCAAAACCTCCACTTGAGAACACCAAGAAACAATCATCCCAACCTCATCAAGCTGCTCTCTTAAACCAGCTATCTTCTCAATCTCCATCTCCTCTTCTCCTCCTTCTGTTCCAGATATCCTGTTGGGTTTATTAGTAATAACCCACAAGAAGGGCGTTTTAGCTTCTATAAGTGCTCTCGCTAGCTCCACAATCTGTTTCTTGGACAACTCAACCATTGTCCCAAAACAAACGTAAATAACAGAGGACTCTGTTTTTGAGTCTAACCAACGACTATAACTACTTTCATCTCTTGAAACACTTTTCTCCGGTTCGCTTAGTAAAGGACCCACTGCCACCATTCGGATATTCGGTATGGCCTTTAACGCCTCTTCCTCAAGCGAATCAAATGTGTTGATGAGAACTTTAGGATTGGTTTCTTCTTTGAGAAACTCCATTAGTTCTTGACACTTGGCGTGTCCAGCTTTGTCGGTATCCTTACTAGACGTGAGGAAAGAAGGAAGATCACGGACTTCGAGAGACGTGATGTCCTCGTTGAAATGATTGTAATAGACGTTGAAAACAGAAGCTGGTTGGATCCAGAGAGGAGCACAAGGGAGTTGAAACCTACGCGCAACTTTTGTTGCCCAGTTGAGAAGAAATGAGTAGACCAAACAAGTCACGGGAGAGTCACCGTCTCTATTAGCTTCGATGAACTCAGACAGGGCTTTATCTCCATAAAGCTTGAGATTCTTAAACCGGTTCTGACGGTCTTGGGCGTTGGAGATGCGTCCATCATCAAAGCCGTCGGAGAAAGGAAGGAAAGAGAGGTTGGTTTGGTCGGTTTGGTTAGAGATCATTGAGCGGTTGAAGACGGAGAGAGATGTTGCAAAGGTTACACGTGCTCCGGTGGTTTTTATGAGCCGACGAGCAAAACGGAGAGATGGGTTCACGTGACCATGCAAAGGATGTGTTACTAGTAAAATATGTTGTGTGGCCATTTTTTTTATGTGTTAAAGACTCTAATACGAGAGTTTATGTGTCTCTCTCCCCATGTTGATTTGTGCTGTTATATATAGATGATCAATTTTGATACAGAGGTTAGGTTTACACATCTAGGCTTCTACATCATTACATAAAAATTTACTTGTGACTTACTAGTTAAATACTTTTTTCACATGGAATTTTATATACTTTTTCCCTATACATAATTGGCGTAATTACCAGCTAATCATTTCAGTGAGGTCAATTAAATAACGAACATGTACATTATATGGTCATTGTATAACATTTTCAGTTCGTTCTTTTTTAAGAAAAAATATAAGTGGAGTACTTTTTTATAAGAAAATTCACATGATCACATGACCACCTTCAAACATTATCAGCTCCGCCAATACAATATGTTTTATAAAATAATTCTAAAATAGAGGTACAGTTGTGATATAAATAAATGTTTTTAAAAACATTTTAGTTGACCAAAACAAAACCTAATGGCGTATACTTTAAACAGAGAATACGATAAACGCAGACAAATACAGAAAACAATTATCAACAGTTAGTACGTCGTTATTAATGATTCACCACGACGTGGAAGAATAAACGATTAGTATATCATATATATGTAGAGGACTCCAAGTGGTACGTCTCACTTTCCTCTATGATCGAACTTGTGAAAAATAAGTCGTACGAAAGCTTATAACAAGGTTTAAGTTTAAATGTAGATAACTTAAAATCAAGCAACAGATAACCATTCATTTATATGCTTTCATTCAGTTGGAGTATGGAGCGTAATGTTCGGTACGGAGTTGTGTTAACTAAAAGCTCATTTATAATTCTTTAATTACATTTTTTTTTTTTGAGAAATTATTAGATTCTTGTAGTGTTTTATCGAAAAATTGTTTATCAAAGGCTTAGATAGTTATAGATAGTTAGATACAAAATAAACTAGAATAATAAATTGAGCGGGAACGGCAAGTCTCTTCATGTTATGTCTTCACATGATCACATCTCGTGGAATATTAAACAAGTTAACTAATAACCTTTCTAACTGATAATCTCAATATTATCCACTGCATTCTCTTGACCTAAGACTTGTCAAGTTACTTCAAATGAGTCACTAAGACAAAATTTATCAAATTGTGACCCAATAGTTACTAAAATCTTCAATTAGATTATCCAAATCCATTAATTGTATGATGAACAAATACCTCATGATTTTTAAACAAGGTTAACGCTTCATCAAACAAAAATTCACTGAACTAGAGAATCAACCATAACTAAACATTATCACTCTTTGAGATTAAGAGTAGTCCTCACTAGACGTTGATGTCCCGATGGATTTCCCGGAGTGTTTCTGCACCGTTGCTGACTCGATTTAACTGCATTATTTCTCGTCATCAAATCGTTCATTGCTGATGAATTCTTCATTCTTCGACACAATTTCATGTGTGAATGCATCTTTTCTGGTTTAAATGACTTCCCACATTGCCTATAATTATGAATCATCATTCATTTTAGCTCTATCAATCGCCACAATATCATTAACTGACGAAAAAGAGTGATACTTACGAGCATAATGGAGCCATAGAAGGCTTGCTTGAAGCCACCTTTGGTTTACAAAACTCAATTGTCTCTTTCATCTTTATACCACTCCATGCCTCCTCTAAGCTTTTTCTATAACCAAGAACACGTTACCATTTTAATTCAAATTATAAATATGATATTAGGCCTAGATGATATATTATATAATTTAGCTTGAGAGCGCCAATGAGATTAGAAACACTCATCTAAAAAATAATGATTTATAGTATATATTATACACCAAAGAATAGTGCCAATAATATGTGGCAGCACTAACAGCTAAAAAGTAACGAATTTAAAAGAATTAACCAATAATTAATTAACTAAATAATAAAGTAATTAGTACTTTGGAGCATACCGAGCATTGTGGTATTGGAATCTGCGTTCATCTTCCCAAGCCGCACCAAAAGCACCAGACGCAGACTTATTCAAAGGCACCGAAACGACATCGTTTGTGTCCATACCACCACACTTCATCAAGTTCCTTAGCAAATGGGAAGCACGCACACTCGAATAGCTCTTACTCTTGATAAAACCCGACGACGTCGAAGACGTCGAAGAAGACACACTGGGTCGACCCGGTTCTGTATCGTTACCCGACCCGTTTCTTTCACCGGATACTTTTCCCCTGTCTTGTTTCTTGAGAACGACCATTTCTTCTTCGTTCGTGGTGGATTCATCGGTGACTGTCGACGTTGTCGCCGTCGATCTCTGAGAGCAGAAGACTGGAGATTCTTTGTGGATCATCTTAGTCGCTATTCCGACGTTACCACCATTTCTTGTCTCGCAAGCTTTCTTTTCCGCATGAGGAGAATCCTCTGTTTTTAATAACCATTATATAGTTAAAGAAGCTTATTAACCATAGTTTATGGAGCTTAGAGATAATTAACTGACATACCTTTTGGAGATTTGAGAAGAATCTCAGATCCTTTGAGGACATATTCGTTATCAGAGATTGGTGTAATAAGATCGTCATCCAATAAATCTTGCCATACATATCCATTCTTATACCTCCTGTATATTACAAGAACCATATTCAAACCATGTAACACATATATAAATTGACAAATATCGTAATTATTGATCGAGAATGTGAAATATAAACCATTTTTTTAGTCAAAATGAAAAATAAGCATTTTATATGTGATTTTTACCTCTTACATGACCAGCAATATGCGTCTGGCATTGCATCGCCTCGTACACCCGCTAACCATCGCTTTACATCTGCGTTATTAACACAATTTTTAGATGAATTTGTTTGAAATAAAAGAGATTAAGAGAAGTGAAAGTAATTAAGAAGAGAGGTTTAGACCTCGAAGAAAGACACCATTACGGGAAATATGATGAACAGACAAGAGATGAGGCTGGTCAACATGACCGGAACGGCTAAGGAAATAAACTAATCTCACTCTTCTTACTTCTCCTGCTCCACCATTACTTTCCATCTCTCTTTTTGTCTTCGAATTTATTCTTCTGTGTGTCTTTTACAAAAGAACTTCTATAAGCAAAGATACTTAGATTTTAAACAATAAGAAAACAGTCTCAGAGCTTTTCAGACAAGAAAGAGACAAACAAGACTGGACTAAGTAACACAAGGGCTTTTTAAACTTATAGACTAGCTCCTAAAATGGTTTTTAGAGAGCTAATTTTAATTTATGATCCCCCACAAAATTTTTGAATGTTTTAAAATATTTTAAAAGGAGAAGCCAAGTGACATGTTTGTGGAGACAAAACAAAACATATGCATAGATAGAGATGAAAAAGTGTATTGCGGATTAACGGAAACTGCATGTTTCTCGTAGGACTCCAAAGAACAAACATAGGGTTTCGAGATCACTCACCTTTTGTTTTTGTTTCCTTGGTACAATATATTTTTATTGGAACTTCTTTCTCCTTTTTTCCCTTTTAATGCTACGTTAAGGCGTACAAATCTGAAAATAATTCAGAAAAGGTTTAGTAGGAAGATATACCTTGAAGGAGAGATTTATGGTCTTAGTCTATGTAAAGCTAAAAATAGAAAGAAGATAAAGTCTTTTAAGCAGATTTATCGTGATTTAGCAACTTAACATATGCATTATCTCTTAACAATATATACTCTTTCCTTAAAAGATCTTTGACCAGGACTAGCATATTTATGAAAAATAAAACTTCCTTTTAATAATTTGATGTACAATTTATTTGATACTTCTTTTGTATTCTCTTCTGTTTGAGACTTTTTTTGAATTAAGCTAATCATTGCGAAAAGATGTTATTCTATTATATTTTGGCGGAAACATGTACATCATTCGTTACTTAATTAATAACAGAGAGATTAATAACCTTTTTCACGTAAGACTACTACATAGTTTGTCAAGAAATAATACAAATAATAAAATATACGTGAAAATGATAATCTATCTTTTCACAACGAGAAATTTGGTACTTTTCCAAACTGAATACAGTTTTGTTTTTCCAAGATCATTCACAATTCTCTTTGGATAATCGAAGAAAAAAACATACATTCAATGTGTATATTAAGTATAGTAGAACTCATTACCTGTGAATTCCATATTGGTGTACTTACTCTTCTTCATACAGTGTTTGCGTCCAAGTTATTAAGTTGTAATAAATCAAGTGTTCATGAATAAAATATCTAATTTTAAATAATTAAAATAAAACAACATGTCGACAAAAGTTTTTAAAAAAAACACTAGTCGAATTTGAAAGCCTCTAATTAAAGAACCACTAGTCAAATTTCTAATTGTTAACAAAAAGTTAAAGAAGATTCTTTTGTTATGTCATAAAAAATCACTATAGTATTTTTTGTCGTTTACACATTTAAGGGTAAGGGTAATGAATGCATCACTATAATCCGGAAGCGAAGTAGTCCACACATTTATTTATTTTATTTCTGCAAGTCAACTAGCTTTCGTCGTCGTCCCCCACCACTGCTAAACTGTGTAAGTTTTATATCCTCTCTTATCGCTTCTCTTCAACTCCAACTACTTTTAGAATGTTTAAAGCTTGGCTTACGAGTCCAAGTTTCCATTTAAGAGGTACCATCTTCTAGGATCTGCCTTTTAAGTCAGTAGATTTGAACACTTTAGCACTTGGATCTGTTAGGAATTTAACCCTTAACCTAGTGCTTAAACTTAGATAGAAATCAAATATCAAAAGCTCTTTCTCTTTATTCACTATCAATGAAACCTTACAAGAACAAAATAGAAATCACAAGTTTTCTTAAGAACCAAAACCTTAACTTATTGATTCTCTTGATCTCTCTCTATTTGCCTAGCTTTTGTTTCTCTTTTGGATGGATCCTAAAGCAACGACACCACCTCCTTTATATATATCATCATCACCGACTTTATTCCTCCTTTTCCATATTGTAGAAACGGAAAACTAACGACACAGTTTCCTTTTGTTTGTGCAGGATTCTAGTTGGGCTGGGAGTTACAGAATTGGGCCCAATCACACACAATCTCCACCTTTGGGCCCAATCTCCACATCGTCTTCTTTCTTCGACAAAACCGATGCCGCGTTACTTCTCTTGCGATCACAGATGTGATCTGAGTCGGTGAACACTTAGCCAAGCTTTCTATTAAACAACCTTTGTATTGAACGCCATGGGTATTCTATTCTCCTCCACGTTGCCGTTGAATAATTTTCGTCATGCTCCCTGTCCTCATCTTTGTCGTGAGAACATACCACCAAACCAGAAACAATTATCCTTTCTCATGTCCTTTCACCGAGAACCTTAAGACTGTGTTGACGTCTCATGGAGGAATCCCACCGTCGACGAATCATGTAGCTCGTACGCCGCTACTCCTTCTTCAACCTTTCTTGTCTTGATTCCAGAGATCATCCAAAACTCCAGTTCCTTTTTTTTTTCTTTCTGAAACTCCGACCTTACCTCCAAAGATTACTCACAGTGAGAACTCCTAATTCTAAAAGAAGCTCGCGATTTCTTCTTTTACTGGTAATTAACAAAGTCCTCGTCTGGAAGTTTCAGGTGGTCGATTAATTTCTCAACCTTGTCCCATTGCTGCAACACTCTGGTAAGGTTCCTTTCCTCTGATGATTTGAGTTTACTTGGAGACCTCTTATCGATTCCCTTTGAAATCGTATCGACTTAGTCTCCTTTTGAACTTGACAGTGAGATGTGATTCTTCAACTGGCATATATCTTTCATGCGTTTCCGTTGATCAAACGGCTTGTCTAAACTCGTCCTACAACTTCTCGGTAAATTCATTTACTCCCATTAGCTGTTTTAGACGATAGATGTTTAACGCGACGTTTCTGATGTCCCGTGATCTGTTTCTTCTTTTGGCCAACCTAGATATTCGTCTCCCTTCAGCCTTTCTTGCTGTTTAAGACGTTCCCTCAGGTGACCCTTTAGAGACTCCTCTGTTACTCCAACGAACCCATGAACCGTTTCCATTCAACTTCCTTGTAAAGTTATACACTTCTCTTTACATGTTTTAAGTTGATGCTTGTGATGTTAAACTCATCTGGTGATCTTCTTGTGCTTTCTTTATGATTGAGATACTCGTCTCCCTTCAGCTCTCCTTGGTGTTTACTCTCCACCGTACTGGCTGTTTAAGACGTTCTCTCCTTATGCTTCTTCTTCCCCTAGAGATACTCGTCTCCTTCAGCTATTTGAGCTGTTTAAGACGTTCTCTCATGTTCTCATCCGTTGCTTCAGAGCCTTTGAGTGACTTTCCTTGTGATCAGCTGCTCCACCTTGAGCTAAAACCTCTGCCTCGCATCTCTTCTCACAGGTAACTTTCTGAACTCCACCTTGAGTTTCCCATTATCAATATAAACCTGAAACTGACTTGTTTCTTCTCTGTCTCTGCGAGCTTGAGACAGCTTTGATAATGGTGTTACCTGGAGCGTCTTCCTTCTTAGGCAGAAACGCAGCGAACCTGAAGCTCCTGTCCAGGTACTGCTTTAATGAGATAATCTGCTGAATTCTGATTAGAATGGTTCTTAGATAGTGTTCCGTCTTCTTTAACTCTATCTCCATAAACACACTCTCTCAATATCTTTGAGACTTTTCCCACGTCTCTAAGCTCAAGCTCGTTACTCAAACTCCTCTCCTCTTTAGCATTCTTCCAGTGCTTTCGTTTCCTGATTTTCTCACCTTCATCGTACACTTTAGATTCTTCAGAACCAGTCTTTTCTGCAGCAGCCAACCCGTATGCTACAGAATCAGAATCTTTAAACTTAGATTCTTCACAACTCTTTTCAGACTTGGTCTCTTCTGAACTTCCAGATTCTTCTGTTACAAAGTCTCCTCCTTGAATGAATATCTCCCTCATCTCAAAGCCATGCGGAGTAGGCCCTTGAATTAGATTTTCCCTGAAAGTCACTTTCTTTGACTTCTTCTTTCTAACTTCTTTACCAACTCCAGAAACGTTTTCCTTGCTCTTAGTAACATTACCTTCGAGACAATACAAACCGTCTTTGTATTTTCCAGCTAGTACCTCTTTCTTATTTTTGTAGAACCGAACCATGAAGCCTCTTCCTTTATAATTGCATCCTGCCTTTTCTAACATCCCATAGGAAATCAGATTTCTACTCACCTCCGGCATGTATCTAACACCCGTGAGTATTACTTCAGAACCGTCTTGATTCTGAATTCTGATTTTCCCAACTCCCTTGATGTCACTCTCAGTGTTGTTAGCCATTAACACCTTGTCGCCATCAAACTCCTTGAAGTCAAATAAGACTTCTTTGTTTGGTGTGCTATGGTATGAGCAACCTGAGTCCATAATCCATTCTGAACGTGTATCTTCTTTGCTATCGGTTAAGACCAATGGTTGCCTAGGCTCTGTTGCCAAATTTGCAGATTCTCTATGTCTCCTTTCGGGACATTCTCTTTTCCAATGCCCTTCTTCTCCACAGATAAAACAACTTGTATTGTTTTTATCGAACTTTTTCCTTGACTTAGATCTGCCCCTGCCGTTTGACTTTCCTCTCCATTGATTTGATTTCCCATCATAATCCCTTTTCTCTGATCTGCCCCTTGATTCCACGTATAAACCCTCTGCGTCTGACCTGGATTTATTCAGCAATCCCTTCTCCTTTAACTCCACTTCTTTGGAGTATGCTGAATTAATCACATCGTTCATAGTGAGAGTTTCTTTTGCAGTCCCATACTTGAGCGTGTCAACTAGTGAATCAAATTGTTGGGGCAAGCTAGATAAAACTTGAATTGCCTGGTCTTCATCGCTGATGTTGATGTTTAGACTTGCAAGATCTGAAACTAGCTTGAGAAAAGTATCTAGGTTTTCCTCGATGCTCTTGTGATCGTCCATCTTGAAACTCGCAAACCTCTGCTTCATGTAGATCCTATTAGGAAGTGTCTTCGTTTGGTAATCTCTTTCTAAAGCCTTCCAAACTCCTAACGCAGTTGTCTCCTTCATAACCTTACGCAGAACCAAATTTCCTAGACTCATGCATATTAGATTCTTTGCCTTCTTGTCCTTTAACGGATCTACTTTAACCTCAGGTAGTTCTTCGTCTTTCTCCTTGCTTGTTTCAGAAGGTGTCTCTGAAACTTCCTGAATAGTAGAATCTAACCCTAGAAGCTCTAACTGCATTAGCATCTTATACTTCCATAACCCGAAATCACCTTTACCATCAAACCTCTCAATCTCGAACTTGAACTTTCCTGGTATCGATTCCATATCTCCTCCTAGCACTAGCAATCTAACCTGGATTGCTCTGATACCACTTGTTAGGAATTTAACCCTTAACCTAGTGCTTAAACTTAGATAGAAATCAAATATCAAAAGCTCTTTCTCTTTATTCACTATCAATGAAACCTTACAAGAACAAAATAGAAATCACAAGTTTTCTTAAGAACCAAAACCTTAACTTATTGATTCTCTTGATCTCTCTCTATTTGCCTAGCTTTTGTTTCTCTTTTGGATGGATCCTAAAGCAACGACACCACCTCCTTTATATATATCATCATCACCGACTTTATTCCTCCTTTTCCATATTGTAGAAACGGAAAACTAACGACACAGTTTCCTTTTGTTTGTGCAGGATTCTAGTTGGGCTGGGAGTTACAGAATTGGGCCCAATCACACACAGGATCTCTTCTTACTTCTTACTTCTGCTTCCTGTCTGTAAATGTTTAATAACTTTTACATATCTTGCTCTTTGTTGTTGTGATCTGTGATGCAGTTACTATAATATGTGAGTATTGAGTTAAAAACCAGGAACAATCATGCTTACTTTTCTCAAGTTTCATCTGCTACTAATCTTCTTCATTTCACTTCTTTATCCATTACTCTCCACTGCCACATCTATCAACATTTGGCCAAAACCTAGATTTCTATCATGGCCTCAACATAAAGCCATCACCCTCTCTCCAGACTTCACCATCATTTCTCCTCAACACCAATACCTTTCAGCCTCTGTTACACGCTACCACAACCTGATCCACTCAGAGAATTACTCTCCTCACATTACCAACTCCATCAAACTTATCAAAGGATACACCTTAAGCAAACTTGTAGTCACTGTCACCGATCTTTCTCTACCTCTTCACCACGGTGTTAACGAGTCTTACACCCTCTCTGTTCCCACTGGAAGATTCTCAGCTCACTTGTCAGCTCATTCAGTTTGGGGAGCTATGCATGGTCTTGAGACATTCTCTCAGATGGTTTGGGGAAAAGCTCCTGAGTTGTGTTTACCAGTTGGAATATACATTCAGGATTCTCCTTTGTTTGGCCATAGAGGAGTGTTGCTAGATACATCAAGAAACTACTATGGAGTAGAGGATATAACGAGGACAATCAAGGCCATGAGTGCTAACAAACTCAATGTGTTTCACTGGCACATTACTGATTCTCACTCTTTCCCATTAGTGCTTCCTTCTGAGCCTTCACTTGCTGGAAAAGGATCTTATGGACCAGACATGGTATACACTCCTGAAGATGTCTCAATGATTGTTCAGTTTGGTTTGGAGCATGGTGTTAGAGTTCTTCCTGAAATAGACACTCCTGGTGAGTCACTCAAATCAATGCTTGATTTTCTAACTTAGCTTTGGTTCTGATGGATACTTTTACAGGCCATACAGGATCATGGGGAGAAGCTTACCCGGAGATAGTCACATGTGGAAACATGTTCTGGTGGCCAGCTGGAAAAAGCTGGGACGAGCGGTTAGCTAGTGAACCGGGAACTGGTCAGCTTAACCCCTTGAATCCAAAGACTTATGAAGTTGTTAAAAACGTTATACAAGATGTCTCTAAGCTATTCCCTGAGCCTTTCTTTCATGGAGGTGGAGATGAAGTCATCCCAGGCTGTTGGAAAACTGATCCTGCAATCAGTTCCTTCTTGTCCTCTGGTGGAACACTAAGCCAGCTTCTTGAAAAGTACATAAACTCGACGTTACCTTACATAGTGTCACAGAACCGGACAGTTGTTTACTGGGAAGATGTTCTGTTGGATGCACTAATAAAGGTGGAATCATCGGTTCTTCCTAAAGAGCATATAATCTTACAGACTTGGAATAACGGTCCTGTGAACACAAAGAGAATAGTATCTGCTGGTTACAGAGTAATTGTATCTTCATCAGAATACTACTACTTAGACTGTGGTCATGGCGGTTTTCTAGGGAACGATAGTCAATATGATCAGCAAGGAGGCGGTGGTGGTAGTGGTGGAGGTTCTTGGTGTGCACCGTTTAAGACGTGGCAGACCATATACAACTATGATATAACTGATGGTTTGGTTGATGAGGAAGAGAGGAAGCTGGTGCTGGGAGGAGAAGTAGCTTTGTGGTCAGAACAAGCTGACCCTACGGTTTTAGACTCAAGGCTATGGCCGCGTGCCTCTGCGTTTGCTGAGAGTTTATGGTCAGGGAATAGAGATGAGAGAGGTGTTAAGAGATGTGGTGAAGCTTTGGATCGGTTAAACCGTTGGAGGTATAGAATGGTGGAGAGAGGGATTGGTGCTGAACCTATTCAGCCATTGTGGTGTCTGAAGAATCCTGGCATGTGTAATGCTGCAGTTCATGGTTCTTCAGAAGCTCTATAAAGAAAAAAAAAATGACAATTTTATTTATCTTTAAGATGTTATAGTTTCTAACTTTCTTCTAATAAAATTTGCATGTTTGATAGAGTCATTTATGGTTTGTTTAATGTGCCATGCTAAATCTTGATGTGTGTTTGAGTTTTTACTTTGTTGAGACTTGAGAGATGTAGTAAACTAGATATAAACGTTGCCAAAACTTCTTTATTCATTGATGTTATCAAATGTTTACAGAAGCAAGCGCACATAAAAATCTCAAAATTCATAAGTGAAAGCCACCAAAAATAAAACACAATCTGAACCAAACACCCTGAAAAAAAAGTTCTAAGACCTCAGAAAAACAAAACCTAAGAAAAGCCTTAGACCCTAAAAGCAAAAACTTAATCACTTGGGTTGCAAGTCATCATTAGACTTGTCATAGACCACTAAAGCAGAGCTCATCTCCTCGGTATTGGCATTTTCGGTATCACTAGGAGGCGGGGGAGGAAGAAGAAGAAGAGGATGGCTAGTAGGAGGAGGAGGACGAGGAGTAGCGAGAGAAAGAGCAAAACATAGTTCACCATCAGAATGATAAGACCAGAGTCGAATCTTATGACTCTGACCTAAACCACAACCATCAACCACTTTATTCCATCCTGTGACCAAATTGTAAACATAAGTAGCGCTCCCTGACTTCTTAGGCATCCTCCATTTCCTCACATTCACATCAAACTCCTCTAAATCATCAGAATCCACGAATTTCACGACGAGTTTCGCGTTGATTCCAGTCTTGAACTTCTTCACCTCATCTTCAGCTATGAGCCTTTGTTCCGTGAGACTCAAGAATCCCAAGTCAATGATGTTGCTGCAAGGCATGGAGAGACGGTTGTGACCACGGCTAACATCGGTTGCACTCAACTCCTTCTCTATAATCTTCTTCAGCTCCTCCTCATCTCCATTCACCAATGTCAACAACCAACCAGGCGTTGGCTCTTTCATCCACGGAGAATCTGCTGCTTTTGCCTTCTTCTTCTTAGGTTGGTTTGCAACAAGAGGAAACAGAGGCGGACGTTTCTTGCGTCTCAAGGGAGGAGATGCATCTTCTTCTTCACTCAAATATCCCACTATAGCAGTTGAACAAGAAGGATCCAAAGGACGTTTCTTGCGTCTCAAGGGAGGAGATGCATCTTCTTCTTGACTCAGATATTCCACTATAGCAGTTGAACAAGAAGGATCAATAGGACGTTTCTTGCGGCTCAAGGGAGGAGGAGATGCATCTTCTTCTTTACTCAGATATTCCACTATAGCAGTTGAACAAGAAGGATCCATAGGACGTTTCTTGCGTCTCAAGGGAGGAGACGCATCTTCTTCTTGACTCATATATTCCACTATAGCAGTTGAACAAGAAGGATCCATAGGACGTTTCTTGCGTCTCAAGGGAGGAGATGCATCTTCTTCTTGACTCAGATATTCCACTATAGCAGTTGAACAAGAAGGATCCATAGGACGTTTCTTGCGGCTCAAGGGAGGAGGAGATGCATCTTCTTGACTCACATATGCAACTATAGCAGTTGAAGAAGAAGAAGAAGGATCCATAGGAAAGCTTCTTCTCATCTGACGTGGAACTCGAGAAGAACTTCTCTTCTGTCGTGGAACAAGAACAGGAAGTGGATTCTCCTCCTTGTTCTTTATTGGCTTCACAACAACTCTAGGTTTTGAGCGACTCAAAGCAATAAGTATATGCGCAGCTTCTACATCGCTAATCATTGTACTTAGTATAGCTTTTTCTTCTACTTTTGTGTTCTTGATACGCCAAAGCAAGCCAACAAAGTCTTCTATATATAGATGGAGAAATCTCAATTCCATCAGTATTTGGGATTAATCTCCTAAACTACGTTGTAGTTGCATCTTTTCCTTTTTTGTTAATTAAAAAGGCTATTTTCCTAATCCTAAACGAGGTATAAGAAGCGAATTCTTGAGTTATCTCGTTTTTATTATTTGATAAACATAATTTTGTAAAAAAGGAAAGATGGGTTGGGTTTTGATTAGGGTTGATATCAGTTGTTTAGCTTCAGACTTCAGTAACGTTGAACACAATCAAGAATGGAAAGAAGGATACGACGACGTTTAATAGAAGCTTTTTTCCTTTTTTTTCTTGACTGTTAAAAACATATGATAATGTTGGCAAATAAAGGTAAGAGGTTTTGATTAGCGTTGAGATTAGCTTTCAGTAAAGATAAACACAATCAAGAATGGAAAGAGCGATACGACGACGTTTGAGTTTTTTTTTCTTTTCCGGTTTGGTACTTTGTTTCTCTAAACCGGACTTGGGTGGTGAAAATTAGAGTAAACCGGTTTTCTGAGAATTTGTTACGTCAGGATCTTGTCTGATTGTAGAAGAAGAAGCCAAAAAGAGGACACGATCGCAGACCAACGACCTTTTAATATGAACTCTTTTGCCTTTTTGGTTTATGAATTAAATGTACTTTTGGGATAAAGAAAGAAAGGCATAAAGGTATTGTCTTTTCGGTGTTTGGGTCCCTCTGTCTTTTTGGTGGTGACGATGGTGGGAGAGCAGCGCAAGAAGATTATCATCGATACTGATCCTGGAATCGGTTTACTTTCATCCACCCCTTTAACAAAAATACAAACTTTTTTATTGGATTCAATTCTGATTAGATTCACTCAATCAATAGTCTCTGTTTCTGTCTTTGGGATCTTCTCGGACTTTTTAAAGTTTGTCTTTTTTTTTTTTATCAGAAAGTTTGTCTTTTTAGATCGTCTACTTAGAAGTAGAGAGTTTATTGATTTTAAAATCTGGGTTTTACGTAAGATCTGAGAATTTTCAAGATTTAAGATGCATAGATCCGTTAGTTTTTGTTTTATTTTGATTTCACTAACTGCTTTATGAAGAGAGCTTGCATGAGTTTTTTTATTTCTGAATGGATTTGATGATATGTAGATGATGCAATGGCGATATTCGTGGCTCTAAAATCACCTGAAGTTGATGTCATTGGTCTCACTACTATCTATGGCAACGTCTACACCACTCTCGCCACTCGTAACGCCTTACATTTGGTATCCTTTATTCTCTTCACTTTTGAATCTCATAATGAAAAGTATATACTAAGATGATGATGTAAGGATCTTTTGTTTGTAAAATCAACTAGTTGGAGGTTGCGGGTAGGACAGACATTCCTGTTGCTGAAGGAACTCATAAAACTATCATGGTATGTTTCCACTGAAGGACACCATCTTTGATCACTTTCTCGTTCTGATTTAGCTGAACACTCATGTCTCGGTGCCTTAATATTGTTAAAGAACGGCACAAAACTTCGAATAGCTGACTTCGTTCATGGGAAAGATGGGCTTGGCAACCAGAACTTTCCTCCACCTAAAGGCAAACCAATTGAAAAATCTGCACCTGAGTTTTTAGTTGAACAAGCTAAGCTTCACCCTGGTGAAATCACTGTTGTTGCTTTGGGACCTCTGACTAATATAGCACTGGTCAGACTTTCTCTTACACTCATTTTTTTTCTAGGTTTTACTTATCTCATTTGAGGACTTTCGTAACCTTGATGCAGGCTGTTCAGCTTGATCCTGAGTTTTCTAAAAACGTCGGACAGATTGTACTGCTTGGTGGAGCATTTGCAGTAAATGGAAATGTCAATCCAGCATCAGAAGCTAATGTAAGTTCTTGAATGCGAACATGTGATCTTCATAGACACTAGTGTTTATATAATTATACATCACCACCACTATCTTCTTGTGTAGATTTTTGGTGATCCAGAAGCTGCAGATATTGTGTTCACATGTGGTGCTGATGTCATTGCTGTGGGAATCAACGTCACTCATCAAGTTATCATGACAGGTTAATTATTTGGAAAAAAATTTTTGCCTGCTTTGGTGTTTTTGCATTTGTTTTTTATAACATTCTTTGTTACCATCTCAACTTCGTGTTTTTGGCTATATTTCTACTTGATTTAGCTGATGACAGGGACAAATTGGCATCATCAAATGGGAAGTTAGCTCAATACCTCTGTAAAATCCTTGGTGTGTACTATTCTTATCATCTTGACGCTTATGAGATCGAAGGTATGATTTGATCATTTGTTCTGTAAGACTTTTAAAGATAACAAAGTTTCTGTGTTTAAATGGTCTTATGTTAAACTTGTATTCCACGGTAGGTGTTTATCTTCATGATCCTACAACGATACTAGCGGCTTTCCTTCCTTCTCTATTCACTTATACTGAAGGAGTTGTTAGAGTGCAAACAAACGGTATCACTAGAGGACTCACTTTACTTTACAACAATCGAAAGAGGTAAGTTCCATGAAAACAGGTTTTTATGTATAGTAGAGAGTGTTTACATAACCTGAAAGCCTTTTCATTAGGGAGTTTTTGAAGCTATAACCAATTGTATGAAGAAGATTAACAAAATGATGTGATGATGTGAACCAGGTTTGAGGAAGTGACCGAGTGGACAGACAAACCATCGGTAAAAGTGGCAGTGACGGTTGATGCACCTGCAGTCTTGAAGCTTATAATGGATAGGCTTATGGATTCTTGAATCATTTTGAGTTACATCTCTCTTTTGTTGTAGCTCTTCTTGTGAGTCATTTTCTCTCTTTTTGTTTTTTACACAATCCATATTGAAATAAGGTTCTTATTACTGAATTGTAACTCAAATTTTTTTTTTTTTTATATCTAATCAACTGGATATTATTTCTCATTTGATGATCTACCAATAATAAATAACACAATCTGTATTCCATGTTTACCACTAGTAAATAACATTTTAACTCAAAAAGCCTAAAACTGTAAGGACTGCAAATTAAATATAAACGTTTCCAAAACTTCTTTAACCATTGATATCATCAAATATTCATAGAAGCAAGCACACTTAAAAGTTTCAAAGTTGCTAATAAAGATCTAAATAAACCTGAGAAAAGTCCTAAGCAAAAAAAAAAAAGAAACTTGAGAAAAGCCAAAGACCATGAAAGCAAGACTTCATTTAATTACTTGGGTGGCAAGTTATCATCAGCCTTGCCATAGATCACTGAAGCAGAGAGCCTATCACCTCAAGCTTAGCATCTCCAGAATCACTAGACGGAGGAGGTGGAGGGGAAAGAGTAGCGAGAGCAAAATAGAGCTTGCCATCAGAGTGAAAAGACCACAGGCGAATCTTATCGCTCTTCTTTAGACCGCATGAGCCTTCACCTTCGAACACTTGCTTCCACCTAATCAAATTGTAAACAAAAGTGTGGCTCCCTCGTTTCTTCTTCTTAGCCATCTTCCATCTCCTCAAATTCACATCAAACTCCTTTAAAACATCAAAATCCGCAAGTTTCACCACGAGTTTCGCGTCAACTCCAGTCTTGCGTTTCTTCCCCTCGTCGTCTTCTATGATCCTCTCTTCCGTGGAGCTCAAAAACTCCAAGTCAGTGATGTTACTGCAAGGCATTGAGAGACGGTCGTGACCTCGGCTAACATCGGTTGCACGCAGTTCCTTCTCTATGATCTTCTTCAGCTCAGCTCCCTTCTTTTTGGTCATCAACTTCAGTAACCATTCGGGTGTAGGATCTGTCGTCCATGAAGAAGACGCTCCCACTGTCGTGGACGGTGGCTGTGACTGGCTGACCATAATTAGTATTTCTTAATATGCCAAAGTAAGCAACAACGATTTTTATATATAGAGACTTATAGAGAGAGAGGTGGTGCATTACATATCTCAATTCTATCAGGATTTGCATCAAACTTTAGTCTCCTAATTTTATTAGAACTTAGTTTCATTATTTTGTTTTTTTTGTTTAAGAGCTATTTTCCTTTTTTTGTATGAGATAAAATTAGAGAACGTGATTTCGTGAATTATCCATTCATTCTCGTCCTAAAAATTTGTATCTTTTTTTTCCATTGGATATACAAAAAAAAAATTTAGCAAAAAGAGGATTAGATTAAGGTTTCAGGTTTAGTACTTCAAGGATTTAACTGGTAACCATCAAAATAATATAAGGAATAAGAAAGAAATGAATGAAAATGAAAAAAATAAACATCAAAATAATATAAGGAACAAGAAAGAAATGAATGAAAATGAAAAAAATAAAAGGAAAATATATTTCCCTTCTAATTTGACGAGGAATAATTGTAGTCTTTTATTCCTTAAATCTTAAGGAATGTTAAGGAATCGTAGGTAACAAATATTCCTTGTAAATAGTGTAAATTATAAGGAATAGTAAGGAACTGACTATTCCCACTCATTCCTTTGATCATCATTTGGAGCCTTGTGTTTTTAATGGCCAAAGATTCATGAAAACAGGATTATATGATCTGAAGCCTTTCAATAGGAAGTTTTGAAGCATTAGCTAGCTGATTTTATGCAGAAGATTAGAACAAAACAAAACTTTGGACTATGGGGCCAAGAAAACATGTGATGTGAACCATACGTAAAAGTAGCAGTGACGGTTGATGCTCTTGTGGTCTTGAAGCTCATAATGGATAGGCTTATGGAGTCTTGATCATTTAGGTTCGTTAAACTAGTTGCTTACAAGTTACATCTTTCTTTGATTTTGCTCATCTTGTGAGCAATTTTCCCTTTTGGTTCTAACACAACCCCTATTAAATAAGGCTCTTGTTGTTGTATTTAGACTAAACAAGTCGTTTTTAAAGCATGATTATCCGAAGTTTCTTATAGAATTTTTTAGAAGATTTTCTTATATTCCCTTAAGAAACCCGTCTTAAGACATTCCGAATAATCATATGTTCTTATTTATTTGATATCTTACCAACTGGATATTATTTCTCATTTGATGATTTATCAATAATAAATAAAACAATCTTTTCCCATGATCTACCAATAATAAATAACATTTTGACAAAAATTGTGAGAAAACTTCTGAATTGACTAGTTCAAAAAAAAAAATTGTGAATTGACATCAACACTGATGAAGACAATAAAAGCATAAGCTATAAATGGAAAGAATGATACGACGACGTTACCCTAATAAACTAAAAACACTCGCTTCCGTGTACAACACTCATGAAGACAAGAATAACAAAAGAACATTCGCTTCCGTACATTTCTCGTCGTCTCCATGCTTCTCTCTCTCTCTCTCCCGCAACCACGTGCGTGCTTTCCTCTCATCCTCTCACTTACTCTCTCACTTTTCTTTTCTTCACCATTCTCCAATCCTTTGAGTTCCTCTCATCATCCTCCCCTAATCATCATCAATGGATACGCTAATCATCGAAGGAGAAGACGAGGCGGCGTTAGCCTCCGTCGTCCCCGCTCCTCCTCACCGCAAAACACAATCCTTCAGCCACCAATTCGACCTAAAGCCACACCCTAACATCCGCCGCAACCGCAAACACAGCCTCGAAGAGATCCCTCAATCCGCCACCTTAGCCGCCGAAACCGCCGTCTACTTCGACTCCTCCGACGACGAATTCTCCACCGGAGGAGTCGTCGTAAACGGCGACAACGTCGCAGACGGAACCGTCACCGGCGACGGTTACGCCGTCGTCACGCCTCCTCCCAACGCCGTCGTCGGAGACGACGGCGTCGAGCCCCTCCCGGAGTTCATCGGGGCGGGAGGAGGCGCGGGGATATTCAAGGCGCCGGTGCGGGCGGCGGTGCATCCCGGACGGCCGCCGTGTCTGGAGCTGAGGCCGCATCCGTTGAGAGAGACGCAGAATGGGAAGTTCTTGAGGAACATTGCTTGTACGGAGACGCAGCTATGGGCGGGTCAAGAGAACGGCGTGAGGTTCTGGAATTTGGATGAGGCTTACGTGGCAGAGTGTGCGGGAGAAGGACAGGTACGGCGTGGGGATGAGGATACGTCGCCGTTTCATGAGTCGGTTACTACGGCTCCAACAATGTGTTTGGTTGCTGATCTAAGCAACAAGCTTTTGTGGAGTGGGCATAAAGATGGAAAGATCCGGGCTTGGAAGATGGATCAGAGGCCTTGTAATGGTGCTTGTGATGATGATTTAAATCCTTTTAAGGAGAGAATCTCATGGCTAGCTCATCGTGGTCCTGTGAATTCAATTGTCATTAGCTCTTATGGTGACATGTGGTCATGTTCTGAAGGAGGTGTGATCAAAATATGGCCTTGGGAGTCGTTGGAGAAGTCTCTTATGCTTAAACTGGAGGAGAAACACATGGCTGCGTTGCTAATAGAGAGGTCTCCCATTGACCTTAGGAGCCAAGTTACTGTCAATGGGACATGCAGCATATCTTCCTCTGAAGTGAAGTATTTGTTAAATGATACAGTTAGAGCTAAAGTGTGGGCTGTGCAGTCACTCTCATTCTCAATCTGGTAGGTCTTATTTCTTCTCTAGCAAATGACACACTGGTTTATTAAAATTCGATTTAAATAGCTCAATCAGTTTAATCTGTCTTAAATCAATTTAAATTGATCTAAATAAATCAATCTACATCGGTGTAAATTAAGCTAAATCAAGACTAATGGGAAGTACACAAATTTGTTTGATTTTTTATTTTGTATATCCAATTTTTTTTATAAGTCATTAGATATTTTTATAATTAAACCCCAAAAGTTAAAATATTGGATATAAATACAAAATATTTAATAAATAAATCAGTAATATCTAATATCTAGACGTTGTCCATGCCCCGGGCCTTAGTTAAGGCATAACAATTTTTTGAACATTAGTTTATGTTCTGTTTTTTTAATCACTTTTGATCTGTGCCAGGGATGCTCGGAGTAAAGACCTCTTGAAAGTTTTCGATGTCGATGGGCAAATTGAGTGTCGTGCAGACATGCCACCTATGCATGGCCAACAAGGTGACCATGAGACGAAAGTGAAGCTTCCCACACCTTCCAAAAAGGAAAAATCACCAGGCTTTATACAAAGATCACGTAACGCCATAATGGGAGCTGCAGGTGCTGTTCGCCGAGTAGCCACTAGAAGTGCAGGAGGGTTTGTGGTGGAAGATACAAGGAAAACAGAAGCGATCGTCTTAGCTGTAGATGGAACTATTTGGACAGGTAACATGAGTGGCCTTATTGTCCAGTGGGATGGAGATGGAACCCGCATGCGGTATGTGAATCATCATCACAGGGCTGTTCTGTGCTTTTGCACTTTTGGTGATCGAATCTATGTGGGATATGCAAGTGGCTACATCCAGGTGTTGGATCTTGATGGAGATTTAGTAGCAAGCTGGGTTTCACATAATGAGCCTGTGATAAAGCTAGCAGCAGGTGGTGGTTTTGTATTTAGTTTGGCTACTCATGGTGGAGTAAGAGGATGGTATGTGACGTCTCCAGGACCTATAGACAATATTATCCGAACAGAGTTGTCTCAAAAGGAAACTTTATATGCTAGAAAAGATAGTGTTAGGATTTTGGTTGGTACTTGGAATGTTGGTCAACGACAGGCTTCACATAGTGCACTTATGTCTTGGCTGGGCTCGGTTACTTCAGATGTTGGTATTGTTGTTGTTGGGTTGCAAGAAGTGGATATGGGGGCAGGTTTCCTTGCCATGTCTGCTGCTAAGGAAACGGTAACTCCTTTTAGTACACTTTTGATGTTGCTTGAACGCAAAGCTTTTACCTTTATTTTGTGGTTGTAGGTTGGACTTGAAGGAAGTGTTCAGGGACAATGGTGGATTGATGCAATTGGAAAAGCACTTGATGAGAAGAAAACATTTGATCGTATGGGTTCAAGGCAGTTGGCAGGGCTTCTTATATCTCTTTGGTTAGTGAAATTTTTAGTCATTAATCAACTAATGTATGTGTCATTTGTTTTTTATTCCCATGTTTAACTACTTGTATATTATAATTTTCTGCTTAGGGCGAGGAAGGAGATTAGAACACATGTTGGAGATCTTGATGTTGCAGCAGTCCCATGTGGCTTTGGCCGTGCCATTGGCAACAAGGTAGGTCTTACACTATCTCCACTTCTTAATTTTTGATTATGGAGCCTATACACACTCATGCCTTCTGGCACTTTAGTATCTTTTATGTCTCTTGTGTGATTGTTAAGATGCAAATGAGGAAGTAATATATAGTAATGTGACGTAGTATATTGTTATATAATAATGTTTTCTAAATAAATTTTGTCACAAAGATACAAAATTTATAGTAATAATATTAAGAATCCAAAAAATTATTATAAAGTTAGATGATATATAGCACCGGTTTATATTATATTAGTGGTAAATTTTATTATATAAATTATAACATTATAGTATAAAAAGAAAATATGCACGGTTGTGCGAATGAAAATGTAGTCTATATATTGAAACGTGAGCTCAGTGTCAATATATTGCTGAGTTCAAATTTATTTTATGTAACATTTTGATCTCCTACTTGTCTATATAGGGAGGTGTGGGTCTGAGAATCAGAGTTTATGACCGGACCATGTGCTTTGTGAACTGCCACTTGGCTGCGCATTTGGAGGCAGTTAACCGTAGAAACGCTGATTTCAATCACATTTTCCGGTTAATGGTCTTCTCACGAGGACAAACTCTAAGTAACGCTGCTGCAGCTGGTATGGTGCTGTTACTGTTCTTGTCTTGCTCACTTGGCTTTTCCACATATTTATTTTGGCTGCTTTATTCTTCTGGTTTGCCATGGGCACTCTCTCTTGCAGCTGGTGCCTCAACAGCAGCTTATACACTAAAGACCACCACTGTATGTTCTTTATCATATTCACCATTACTACAACAACACTTAAATTCTATCCCAGGCTTCACATGTTTCTGTGTTTCTCAGAATCCAAGTCCCGGAGCTGAAGAAGTTAAGTCTGATTTAGCAGCAGCAGACATGATCACATTTTGTGGGGACTTTAACTATAGGCTGTATGGTATAAGCTATGATGAAGCTAGAGACTTCATTACGCAGCGATCTTTTGACTGGCTTAGAGAAATGGACCAGCTTAGACAAGAGATGAAGCTTGGTAAAGTCTTCCAAGGAATGCGTGAGGCATTAATCACTTTCCCTCCCACTTACAAATTCGAAAGGAATAAATCAGGCCTTGGAGGTACCAAATGTAGATATATGAATTTGTTACATTTATGTTCTCATCTGTTTTCTGCATGGTTATAAAAATCAGTCTAGACGACGCATATAAACCTGAAAAATTAGTCATAACCAAAACAATTTTTAAAAAAAATCTGGTACCAAATTAGATATATGAATTTGTTACATTTATGTTCTCATCTGTTTTCTGCATGGTTATAAAAATCAGTCTAGATGGCGCATATAAACCTGAAAAATTAGTCATAACCAAAACAATTTTTATAAAAAATCTGATTGATACAACTCAAATCTGTTTAAAATATTTTAAATGGGTAAAAATCAATTTAAATTAGTCTAATAAAGTTAGTACAAATCTATGCACAATCTTATCTAATTCTTTTGTTTTTAATATCTAATTTTGATATTTCATCAAAATAATTTGATAATTGTAAAAACTAAAATATTGTTAAAGAATAAAGAAGGTTGTAACTCTCATTGTATTATTAATCACGTGGTTACACATATATATATACATACAAGAGAATAAAGCATATTCCTTAGGAGATAAGGATTGCTACAAATAAAGGGGATGATTATCCTAATCCTATAATGATTAGGATATCTACAACATATGGATAAATACAAGGGAGGATAATGACA